TCCTTACTATCTAATAAGAATCTATTCTTACTTAGATTATCCCTATACCGACGGTACTTCTAGCGTTGCTTCTTACCTTCCTATAGTAGACCTAGTAAGTCTAATAGCGGAAAGGGTAAAGGCTAACCCTACGTCGGCTTACGAGAGGAATTACCTAGATCGAAGTTACTAGATAGCGGTAGTAGAGGATCGTTAGGAGGATTACTAGGTAGATTACTAGGAGGATTACTAGGCGGATTGCTAGGCGGATCGCCTAGTACAAACCTGCCCCGACGTAAGCGGCTATACCTACGGGCATTTATATATACGTCTACCCTCTACTAGTAATCGTATTAGCCTAGGTTCGGCTAGGGCGGACTTAGCTTACGCGTAGCCGATAGCGGTAAAATCGTCTATTCTATTAGAAAGTCTAATACGCCTTCGTTAAGATAGACTCCTCTCTATCTAGCTAATTCGCGAAGATAATTACGACGCTAATAGTTTTATTATACGGCGATATTCGCTCTATCGATCTCCTCGGTTATCTATAAGGCATCTACTAGGGTACGATATTAGAAACGACTACGCGGCTCGTTAGCCTATAGGTCGGCGAGGCCGTTATTTATTAGAGGCAATTAGCCGCGACCGATATCCTAGAATAGCGACGTCGATAGATCGGAAGGCCCGGTTAACGGTTCCTTAGAGGAAGTCTTAGGTAGAGGCTCTCTTAGCTTTTAAGGATTCTCGTCCGCTAGGTATTATAGCTTAAGTAGCCTCTATAAGAAAACCGATTTAAGCGAGCTATTAGGCGAACCGGGACGCTATTCCGGCGGTACGGTTATTTCTACCGTAGTAATAGGCGAAACCGTAGGCCGCGGTAGAACTTAAGCTAGTCGGGCCGGTAGGCGCTACTCTACTATAGATAGCGGATAGATATCTAGGTAGAATTAACGGTAATAGCGTAAATCGCGTACCGTTAGGAGCGCGGCTTTAAGCTCCTTAACCGATTTAGTTAGAATTCCTTTATCTACTACCTACTACCCTAGGAAGTTATAACCGTTAAGGGCGTTTAGGTAGAGTTCCTCGATTTTAGTCTATAGAGGCGGCGGATTTCCTACGAGCGGGTAATAGTATAGAATATATAAGGCAAGCAAGTCGATTCGGCTATACTTTATCCTAAGCTAGGTCGCGAAGTTCTCGCTATAATCGACGTAGTTCTAAATATAGGAATAGATACGTAGGATATAGGGCTCTATATCTAGCAATCCGAGATTATAGTACTAGGGTAGCGGTTAAACCGCTAGCTTAGCTAATTTCGAGGCTTCTACCGGAGTTAGAAGCGAGTCCGAAGGAGCTATAGTAAGCGGGTAAACTATTAGTAAGAGGGTAGAGGCGAGATAGTCTCTAGATAGAGAACAATAATAGAGAACCGACTAAAGGCGGAGGAGCGTAGCTTTTCGGGGCAGGTCCTCCTAGGGAAAGCGGCTACCCCTAGACCTAGGTATAGTAGGCAATTGCTACTAAAGGTAGAAACTACTACTACTGTCTCCTCGGGGTACTAATAGGATCGCCGATAAGGCGCTCGCGCGTCGGTAGGATATAGTGCGGAAGGGTAGTAAATCGAATAGGTACCGTCGTAACGGGTAGGAGTTAAATCGTAGTAGTTAGTAGAAGATCGGTAGGACTCGTAGCTAATTACGTCGATTCTTGTCGTAGCTATAACGACTAGGGTCGATTCGGATAGAGAACTAGTAGTTAGTATAGAAGCTAACTAAGTATTAAGCGAAGCTACTAAGTTGCTAGGCATACGGTTATAGTACGAAGATATCGTAACGGTTATGCGGTATAAAAGTTAATATATTCTCTAAGGTACCGCGAGGCAAGCTATCTATATAATAGTCCTACTATTAGTAGTAATAGCGACCGTAGCGGTCGATAGTAACCGCTGCCTACTATCGTATATGCAATAGTATTATATCGTAATAGCGCCGCTATTACTAACCTTACCTACTACTATTACTATACCTATAGGAATAACCTTACCTATACTACGAGCCTAAAGCACTATACTAACTAAGTTAAAAGATTAAACCTATTAAGGGTTTAATTAAAACTTTAACTAAGTTAAAAGAATTAAGCGACTAATAGACTAATATTAGCTAGTAACCGGCCCTATACCTATAGGCTAGTTTTAAGCCTATATAAGAGGCCTTCTTCTATAGAGTAGACAGATTACTAACCTCGTATAGCACATTGTTTATATTATACTTCTATAATGCCTATATTGCAAGGCTCTAGTTATTAGCCTAAGCGATAGTCTTATTATCCTATCTTACTAAATATAGCTGCCTATATTGCTATAGGTTATGTTACCCTCGGTAGCCTATACTATTGCTATAAGTAGTAGTAGTAGTGTTAGTTTCCGTCCTTTACTAACTAAGGGCAAAAACTATAGAGCTAAGCTAGCTAGGGTCGATCTTACGGATAATAGGTTACTCTTCGATCTTTCCGATCCTTTAAGCGAGGCGAACCTTAACTATTATACTTATAATAGCCTTTACTTATAGAAACTAGACGAACTGTGTTTTTTTTAAAAAAATAAGATAAGATTAATAATTAAAGGCTACTAAACCTAACTAATTAGGGCTAGCGAAACTACGAATAATAATAGCCCTTATAATAATAAGAACAACCCTCGAAGCGGACATTTCTAGGTCTTTTAAGAGTAGACGCAAAGAACTCGGTACGATATTACTTAGAACGGAGGCAGTACTATAATACCTTATACGTCTACCTATTATAGTAGGGAAGACGCGCTCGTATTATAATTAGTCGATAGTCCTTAATTCTCGTAGTTATATATTACTTTATTATATATAAGGATAGCGTAGTTAGAGTTAAATATTGTATTATATTAGAGGTAAGGTTTAATATAGTTATATAATTAGGTAGTTAAGTGTTTAATTTAGCGCGAGCTAAGTAGCTTATTAGACTTACTAAGTTAGTAGTAATAGAGGTCGAGATTAGAATATAGTTAGGCTATAAGGGCGCGGCCTTTAGAAGGGAAGCGTATATTAGGACTAAAGAGGTTATACGTAATTAGTATATAACTAGGCTCGAGTAAAGCTAGGGTCTTAATGCCTTAGGTAGGGCTTAGCGCTTAGTAATAGGCTAACTTACCTACCTTCCTCCCTCTTCTCCTAGCTTCTTATCGAATACTACCTATACCTACTACTACCCTATCTACCTACTAATATAACCCTTCTTATACTCTAGCTTCTACTCCTTAAACTCGTATCCCTTCGATATACTAAATTCGTAGATATACCGCTCGAGTACGCTTTTTAAAGATACCGTTAACTCGCGCGGTATTAGAGCTTGTAGTAGTAAGGTCGCTTTAAGCGGTTTAACGATAAACTTATATTTCTAAGAGCGTAGTAATACTAATTAATATCTAGGTCGAGATATATACTCTCGAGGTAGGCTAGGTAAGCGACTACGTCCTCGAATACGCGTTTCCGAGACTAATTCGACTTCTTTTTACGACTTAATATCTACTACTATCCCTTCTATCCCTTCTACTATCTCCGCTATACTACTAATATCGTCTTTAGCGAAGAAATCGTCTATATAAGCCTTATATAATAGATATTAAGCTATTATATTAAGAAAGATAATAGAAATACGTATTCTAATAGAAATCTAATAGAAATCCGTATTCTAATAGAAATAATAGAAATACGATATTTAGTATACGTGCCTAGGCGCGACTATTTATAATACTAACTAAGAATAGCTATATCTAAAAATAGGTAGAAATAGTACGTAATCGACGACATTACGATTCTATATTAGTACTAGGTCTATATCTACTAGGGCTCGGGCAGCTAGCTAGGGCTCGGGGAAGTCGCTAAGCGTAGCCTCTTAAATGATACAGTATTTATTTGCCGGGCATTAAAAGGGTTCATCGGGTGGAGCAGCCGAACACAATCGATAGGCAGAGACAGAAACAGAAACATAACGAGGCTTTACTGATGCATTCGCCGAAACGAACCAAGTGTACTGTATGTAGTAGCAGCAGACACGACCCCGCTATCTCATCTCCCTTCACCTGTGGCTTCATTATTTGCAAACACATTCTTGGCTTGGTGCTGGACTGCCGACCGCGCATAGTTTCGAGGTAAGGAGCAAGCTTTGCTGCCGCCGCAAGATGCCTGGAATGGCTAGACTGTAGAGTCCAACCCTCACACTAGAATACCCCCGAGCTTTTCTCTGCGTATAGGCGGCGCCGCGTTTCATGGCGTTATCATCTTCGATCAGAACAGGCACACCAGTAGTGTTGACTGATTCGGCACTGTCCAGACAAAGAACCATCCTGCTTCCGCGCACAGTAATAGTGGCATAGAACGACTACTCTACATTCTTCCACTCGATCCTCCGCGCAGAACGTGCTCGCTCTCCACCTTCACTTGAGGAGCCTACCCGTGGTTCCCGACCCGCCAAACGCCTCCCACCTCGTCGTCGACCTTCGTTGTTCACATCTTGGTCGCTCTTTTGGTGTATCATCACTGTTGGACTATTCTTTGAGCAGCGAAAGGCTGTGCACTGTATACACGACAGCCTGCATACACGCATACATATATATCGGGGAGCGAGATTTGACCAAGGCGCTGGACATGGCGCAGATTGCGGACGTAGAAAGAGCAGTGACAGGAACGCAACCTCTACCTCCCACGCCTGTCTCAGAAGAAGTCAAGGACAGCGCAGAAGTGAGGCCGGGTACGCCGAACTCGATTGGGAACGATCAGGACTTTAGCCATAACCGGGAGGTGTCGGAAAGCAGTATACAGCACTCGCCACCAACATACTCTGCCTCGACGAAGCGCAAGCCGGTGCCTGTAGCCATCAGCCAAGGCAATGTTCGTGGCCCAGAAGTAAGGCTACAAGAAGCTCCGGCAAGTCCGGTAAGCATTTCACCCGCACACATTGGTATACTGGAACCGGAGAGCGCCAGCATTTTGATGGAAGGAGACGGCCGCACATCTAGACATGTGGAGACACCAGATTCAGGCAGCGTGAGGCTGAGCGACAGTCCTGCTTCCCTGCCGATTCGCAGCAAGGACTCTAGCTTCCACCCCGGTCACAATCACAGCCGACAATCTTCCAGCACCACACACACCCAGCCGAGAATTGACGAAGAGGGCGAGGATGGCATTCCTGAAGCGCAAGACAGCCCAGGCCTGCAATACCATGCCTTCCCGGAGTCGAAGACACATTCACGCACGTTGTCGCAGACGTTGTCGCAGACGCAGACGTTGAAGTTGTCGCAGACGTTGAAGTTGAGTGTGCCACAACCAAGTCTCCCCAGGCCGCCATCATCTTACAACATTGGCAGCGAGCTTCGAGGTAGAACTCTCTCGCCTCTGAGCGCCAATGGCTCTGATCCCGATTCTCCCAACCTTCGTGCGCGTGACCTGTCCTCGCAGCGAAGGTCACCACTCGCCAGGCCGCATTCATATGTGGAACTTCTTGCCAATATACCCTACAACCAGCAGGTCCCGCCTTCTCCATCCCTCAACAATGTCAACTTGCAATCCGTGGTCGGTAGTGCCGCCTCGTTGCTCGACACGAAAAAGACCCTGGACATGTACCGTGCGAATGTGAAGAAGACCAAAGATGCTGCTGTTCAGTACGAGTTCGCCATCTTTATGCTGAATGCCGCTCGCGATGCCGAGCTAGGAGATGGTCTTGACCCCACTGAACTGCAGGTCGAAGCAAAACATATCTTGCAAACTCTTTCAGACCGAGCATATCCATTCGCACAATATTATCTTGCAGATGGCTATTTCAGCGGACTCTTCAATAAGGGTAAACCAGATTACGACAAGGCCTTCCCACTTTTCGTTGCCGCTTCGAAACACGGGCATGCAGAAGCGGGATATCGTGCCGCTTTGTGCTACGAGTTCGGCTGGGGCACAGCAAGGAGTGCTCCAAAAGCTGTGCAATTCTACAAAGCCTCTGCTTCCAAAAATCATCCCGGAGCTGCAACCCGACTTGGTCTGGCTTGTTTGAACGGCGACATGGGCCTCGACGCACGAGTACGACAGGTCTATCGCGATGGCGTCAAGTGGCTGAAGAGGGCTCAGGAGAGCGCTGATCCGCAGTACAATCAAGGTCCCTATGAACTTGCACTTTTGCATCTCGAGGGCTATGGAAACGACATCTTCAAAGACGAGGCATACGCCGCGCAATTGTTTACTCAAGCTGCAGAGCTCGGACACGTCCAGGCTAATTTCATCATGGGTCAAGCGTATGAGAATGGGCTGTATCGCTGCCCGAGGGATGCCGCCTTATCAGTGCACTTCTATAATGGCGCAGCATCACGAGGTCACGTCGAAGCGATGATGGCGCTCTGTGCGTGGTACATGGTTGGCGCTGAGCCAGTCCTGGAACGCGATGAACATGAGGCATACGCGTGGGCCAAGATGGCTGCCGAAAGCGGTACGCATTCCCCTTTCCACGGCAATCCCACACTGACAATCCAACAGGCTGGGCCAAAGCTGAATACGCCATCGGCTACTTTACCGAAATGGGCATCGGATGCCGCCGCGATCCTCTCGAAGCCAATGTCTGGTACGTTCGAGCTGCCGACCAAGGGAACGAGACTGCAAAGCAAAGACTTGCCATCATTCGACAAGCTGCAAGTGGTGATCCTGGTATCCCAATGGCCAAGGGCAACGCAAAGAGCAATGATCTGAAGGCTGGGGACAAGAAGAAGAAGATTATGGGTATCTTCTGACCCATCTCTGCAAGCGAATGAATTGCGCGTGCGTGCGTGCGTGCGTGCTCGGATGTCCTGATGTTGGAAAGGAGGTCCCACACGGCGACACCTCGCGGAAGAAAAGCAACGAAGGCAACAAGCATAGGCGGAGTTCGAAGGCGTTTTGGGGGCCAACAAGACTAGATCTTTCTTCAAATGGTATAGGTGGGAATGAGGCAACTCTTGCATTGATTGTTGTTACGTTTGGTGGCTTTTATATGAAAAGCATGGATGGCTGGGCTGTCGTTATGCATCTAGGTCTAGATTACATTCAAAACCAACTGCAATCTATAATGAGGTGTGTCGGTTAGCGGTATAAGGGAGAGAGCGAGAGAGAGAGAGAGAGGTGTTTTGCGGAGTTGTATTTAGATTTGTAGGTATAAATATAAATAGGGAGTAGTATTCGCCTCTAATAATCCTCTCCTAAAAGCGTACTCCTTGTTAGCGCTATACTAGTTAGTATATTATCCGTATCCTTTCTATCCTTAGCTACTCTAGATACCTTACGAGCCTATATTATAATCTTTTAACCCTTAATTCTCTTCGAGATACTAAATACTTACTATTTAGACTAGTTATAAAGGCAATCTTCCTTTAAGAAATTCCCTAAGGTCTAGCTTAGAAAGTACGTCCTCGTTAAATCTAAAACCTAGTTCTTAATATAGTATAGCTAAAGAAGATATTTTAGCCTAAGAATAATAATAGTAACTTAGTATAGCTATAGCTATACTCTAGGATAAATAGCTACTTTACTCCTTTATAGAATAAAGGGAAGAAAGAAGTCTAGAGTTTATATTAAAGATATTATAAATAAGTAACGCGTACGTAGATACTAGATATAAGACTTAATAGGTTCGATAAAGAGCTAAGTCTATCTACGTAAATCTAAATAGTTTTATATAGTATACTAAGCGCTAAGTAGTAGGCTAGAGTCGCGTAGGCTAAATACCTAAGGCTAGCGATTTCTACCTAGGGTATAGCCCTTTATATTATCCCCGTCCTCCTCCTCTTTCTTAGTAGAAATAGAAAGCCTCTCGTAGTTTCTAGCGCTATTACTTCCTCTATTAAATCTACGCTTATCTAAGCTTTCTAAAGTAACGCGCTCGTAGTTTCCTTCTTCGCGATTAGAGTTTCTACTACTTTCTAGTTAGGGTTGCTATATCCTAGGTTCTAAGGACTATAACTTTCTTCGCGACTACTAAACCGCGCTCTTTTACCTACTTACTGCTTTCTAAAACGCGCTATAACTACCCTTTTAAACGCTTTACTTATATTCGCGCCTTTCTTTGCTTTTGCGACCTTTACTTTCGTATTGCTTTCTAGGAGTATTAATATTTCCTTCTTCTTTCTCTTCTTTTTCTTTTCTTTATATATACCTCTATCCCTACTACTACTATTACTATAGTAAGTCCCTTCCTATCTTCCGCGATTTCCTTTATAAAATTAACTTATTCTAGATAGCTCGTCGAATCTACTATATTAGTTACTATAACTCTAGCGAAGACTACGGCGATTAATCTATAAGATATCTACCTTATTTATCCCGGGGTTCGCTAACCTTTCCTAAGCCCGCTAGCTCGAGGGCCTATACTAATTACGCTTGTAAGAGAATCGCTTACGCCCTACTATAAGTTTTTATAATTCCTATACTAAAACCCTAGCTAACTATTTAGTCCTTAAATAGCTTACGTAGCTTACGCTAGCTATACCTACGCGACCTATAGTATAGTCGCCGATAAGTACTCTAATCTTCTTAAGGTTCTTAAGATATAGAAAGCCTTAAAGTCTTTCTAGCTATAGGGATTATTATCTAGATAAGTTTTTCTGTTTACTATAGGGCACTTTAGGGTTAGGGTTAGGCGTATAGCGGGCGTATAGTAGGGCGCCGGCGTCGGGCTAATTAGCTATAACTAGCGATACGGCAAGGGCCGCGAGCTAATTAGCTATAACTAGCGATAGGAACGCTCGCCCTCGCGCGCGACGTCGACGAGCCCTATTTACTATTTATCGCCTTCCTTATAGAACTATTCTCTATTTATTCGATATTATAATATCGAAGGTATAAAAGAATATATTCTCGCGCCTACTTATAGGCCGCCTACGTATATTACGAGCTAAATAAAAAGGCGGTCGCATTCTAAGTCGTGTCTCGACTACGCCCGCGTCGGGCTAATTAGCTATAACTAGCGATATAGTAAGGGCCGTAGGCTAATTAGTTATAACTAGCGATAGGAACGCTCGCCCTCGCGTACGACGTCGACGAGCCCTATTTACTATTTATCGCCTCCCTTATAGAACTATTCTCTATTTATTCGATATTATAATATCGAAGATATAAAAGAATATATTCTCGCGCCTACTCGTAGGCCGCCTATATATATCTAAACAAAAAGGCGGTCCTATTCTAAGTCGTATCTCGACTGCGCCTACGTCGGGCTAATTAGCTATAACTAGCGATATAGTAAGGGCTATAGGCTAATTAGCTATAACTAGCGATAGGAACGCTCGCCCTCGCGTACGACGTCGACGAGCTCTATTTACTATTTATCGCCTCCCTTATAGAACTATTCTCTTAGAGTACTCTCTACGAGCTATATCGCGAAGATGCCCTCCGCGGCCTTCGCGAAGTAGTCTTAATAACTCGCTATACTCTATATGCCGCCGAGGACGCATTTAATAGTAAAGTCGGCATCTATACTAAGGTTAGTCTCGCCTTTACCCCTTTAACGCGCCGCCTGTTATATACTAACCTAAGTAGGTTTATATCTGCGGCGCGACTTTGTCTATACGTAGCTTCGCTATCCGCGTTACTTTTAGTCTCCTCCGTACTAGTAAGAAAGTTCTATAGGAACCGCGAAGATGCCCTCTGCGGCCTTTACGAAGTAGTCTTAATAACTCGCTATACTCTATATACCGCTAAGGACGCATTTAATAGCAAAGTCGGTATCTATACTAAGGTTAGTCTCGCCTTTACCCCTTTAACGCGCCGCCCGTTATATACTAACCTAAGCAGGTTTATATCTACGGCGCGACTTTGTCTATACGTAGCTTCGCCGTCCGCGTTACTTTTAGTCTCCTCCGTACTAGTAAGAAAGTTCTATAGGAATAGTTAAAGCGCCTTATCGCCGGCAGCTTAGTCGTTCTTATACTAATAAATAATAAGGTCGTATCTCGCGCTATTATCGCTACTATTGCCGCTCGACTACTAGAGGGACTTTAGTAGAATCTACCTAAGCTTAATCTCGCCTTTACCCGTCCCGAGGAGTTAGAGCTAGATCCTACTATAGAATATCTTATAGTAGAGGACCGTAGCGGACTTTTCGAAGCTAATCGGCATACCTTGCTTAGCCTTTAGCGTATAATACGCGAGGGTTTCCCCTTATTAGAGCACCTTGTTAGTATATAGCCTTATATTTCGCCGCCTAAGTATATTAAAGCATAGCCGAAGCGAGATCTAAGCTCTATCCTAGTTAATAACTCTAACGAGAGCTTCGAGAATATTAATATAGTTAAGCACTAGCCTTCTAAGCCTAATAGTGCTCTAGACGCCTCCTAACTAGAAGCGCTCTATCGTATTCTAACGGCGCGTCTTGCTATTATTTAAGGCCTACCCGGTACTAGTAAGACCTATGTCTATCTACTAATAATTATCGCTTATTAGACTAACTACGCTATCGACTAGTTTTTACGTTATATCGCTATATTCGAGGAAGAATTTGTACGTCTCGGTAGTCGTAGTAAGGATAAGGATATCGTTAAGCCGCTTCGTTAGGATACGACGAAGCGCTTCTAGTTAGTAAGCCGCTTCGTTAGGATACGACGAAGCGCTTCTAGTTAGTAAGCCGCTTCGCTAGGATACGATAAAGCGCTTAAGAAATATTAAAGTAAGAAGGCGTTTGTATTCTAAGTCGTATCTCGACCGCGCCCGCGTCTAGCTAATTAGCTATAACTAGCGATACGGCCCTCGCTCCGTTAGAACGCGACGGAGCGCTTCTAGTTAAGAAATATACGAGGTACGCATTCCCCTATCCCTTACCCTCTAGTTCCGTAAGTAGGGATTTACCTATCTTCTTAGCTATACTTTTAGTCTTATATTAAGTATATAAGGTACCCTTTCCCGAAATCTAGCTAACCTATCTACCCGATATTAATTAAATATTATTAGAACCTAGCTAACTATCTAATTAAATAGCCTTCCTTCGCTATTACGGAAGGCTACTATAAACCTTATCCCGTATCTCGTATTACTCCGCCTATCGCCTAGTAAGGACTTTTACCTTTAATAACAGACCTACCTATAATACTCTTTAGGTTTACTTATCCTACGGTCCGATAGAGGAACAACTTAAAACTTTTAGTACGTATCTAAAACGCCTAGTTTTAGGTACGTACCTAAAGTTTTAAGTTGTTTACGGTGTCCTTTAATTGCTAGACTTTAGGTTTTGCAACGTCTACGGGAAGGCTATAGGTAGTATACGAACCTACTTATACGTACTACTTTATACGCAAAATATACTACGCTACTATTCCTTACTCTCTTATATATAAAATATATCGCTAGAAAGGGGTAGCCCTTTCTAGTATTAGTAGTTTCCGCGAGATAGAACTACTACCTCCTTAAATTCTATACTTATTAGCGCGGCTTATATATAAGCTTTACCCTCCGCTATTAACGGAATTAATACGATGCCGCCTAAAGGATAGCGCAAGCTACTCGGTACTAAAGAGGAAGAGCGGAAGAAGAAGGCCGAACGTACCGCGAGGAAGTTAGCGAGTACGGCTCTACGACGAGCCTAGAAGAAAGTATAGTAAGCCGAGCAAGACCTAGGCGTAGCATCTTCTTCGTCTACGCTACTACTATATCTAGCCGCTATATCGTCTACCTCCTCGGCTACCTAACCTATCCCCTATATTAACCCTCTACTTTATAGCTAAATAGGCGTAGTAGGTAGTTAAACACTCTAGAGTTAGTACTATTC